ATGATGAATCTCATCAGTGCAAGGTATCATCGTCAAAACCAAATTTAAGGTAAAGAGTCAAGAAAACTCATCGGCAAATCCCTAAAAAGTGGTATATATACTCTATATCTGGCCTCTGATTTGGTTAGTTACGGTTCGACATTGCTCAATCGGAGAGATGATTATAAAATTTATGTAGAAAGGGGAGATAGTGGTCATCAAACCTTGATAGCCGAGAACAGGCGTTACTTTTGCTGTCCTAATTACCTTGAGCCATCACTGCTGGTTTCGTGCATAAGCTAACACAAGCAAGCACATATACATAGGGAGACAGGCATACTCACGGGCTTCGAGGTTCACAAATGACCGTAACTAACCAAATAACTTTATACCTGATCAAAGAGGCTAGATGTAGAGTATATATACCACTCTTTAGGGATTTGCCGGTGAGTTTACTCGACTCGTTAGCTCTAATTTGGTTGTGACGATGATACCTTGCTCTGATGATGTTCGTCATATGACGGATGAAGGCTTACACTTTTTCAACGAAATCGAAAGAGTTTACTTTGGAAACAGCGTCCCCATGAATGCTCCAGTAAAGCTAATCGACAGCTGGTCAAGAGAAACCCGCCGTCGTCTTCTGGTGGAATCGACCTTGTAATTTTATTTCGACGTGCAAATTGAAACAGTTCATGAGGCTGAAAATGGACTGAGCCTTCGTTCGTTCTATGATAGACATGATCAGCACGGAAACCCATTCTGATAAAAGCTTCAAGTTAATGCTTTATCATGAAAACTGGTCGACTATAACTTATATTGTATATATACTAACAGACAAAATCGAAAAAAGCATCTGCATTTCCTACTGCTTTCTTGTCATGGGCACCAGCCTCATGAACAGCTGACACAAGTAAAGGGAAAAAAACATATATATATGCCTATATACATACATACACACACATACATACATATATACATACATAAATACATTAATATAAAAATTTACATCAATATCATGAGCTGTTTACATGAATCGAGAATGAAACTCGTCTTGCCATGAAAATTGCGGATACAGGGGCTTCCGGAAGAGCATAAAAACCCAGTGGTAGATATAAAGATGGATATGATCACCAATCTTTCAGTGGAAATGTTTCACCTCGTTCTCCAGATTTGGTTTAGTTTTCAAGGAGAATTAAAAAAATGTATCCTTTACTAAGTCCTGCAATTGTCGTTTTTTATTTCCTCACTACTTACTGATGCCGGCGAAAAGTTTGAAACCTTCAATAGTTGTAGTCATCCTATGTTGCTAATAGAATTTTCTCACATTGTTATTAGAACTGTGAATCAGGATTTAGTGAGAGTTTCGAAAACCAACTTTATCTGATCATATATTCGACTCTGGAGTAGCATGGCTAGCCCTGAAAGCCGAACCAAGTTGCCAACCCATATGAAAGTAATTTAGTTTGTTTTATTTCTTTTAGCTTTATATTCGTGTATGCTTTGTTCTACTGCATCCAAATCAGGCGATTCCAAGCAATAAATAGTGCACACATTTCCATTGGGGCGGAGGTTACTCGGTTTGATCGCCAATAAAAGTAGACACATTTATTTCGCCACGTCGCCATCACGCCCTGGCCTATTCACTCTTCGCCCCCAACATGGTCTCCAACTGTGCAGCCTGCTGAAGATTGGTGGTGGGAGATGGGAAGAGGGGGTGCAAATGCATGTGGACCAGAGTGAGCTTTAACGAAATAGGCTAGATCCGGTCGAATGATCTGCTCATATGCCCGTCAACAGGCGACTTTGTCCACCCGCTCGTTACGATAGCTCAACCACAGCCGAGGCCAATGTTGCCTTATGCATTCGGCAGAAGACAATTTGTACCGGCGACGAGGGCGCACGTAGTCGTCACCTCTGACCGCTGTTCCAGTCAGGCCAGCCTGCGGCTCTCCGGCCACTTCGAAGGCATAAAGTCTGCATGAACCAAGCAAAGTCTCAACAATTCGGCGACACCAGCCCATATACGAGTTTTCTAGGCTACTCTGGCTGTTGCGGCATTTGCAAATAGACACACGCACTCACTGGCGTGTACCTCCAAAAATCTGGCCTACCTCTAACCTCAACATAGGGTCTTCAGGGAACTATGAATTCAGGTCCTTTGCACTAAGAATTCATAGCTGAATTTACGCATCGACAAACTGCGTCTTTCTAGAATTTCCCCATATTTTGCACTTTATAATAAATTTTAATAGTCCTTTTATAATAACTTAGTCGCTCGCTTCGTGTATCGGCAAATACTCCAGCTTATGCTTAAAAAGTATCAGTAGCTCTAGAAGGAGGGATTTTGTTATTCTAGCTTGCCTTAGCAAAATTTCCCAGAATAGAATAACTACTCTTTGCCTTCAAGAATCAATTACACATACACTAATTAGCATTGTTGGTTTCAGTATCAAGTACATTTAGCCTTCAAGACAAGGGGGGGCAAAACTGCAGTTCTTCTTGGATA